CTTACCCACCCCTTTCCTCCGTACCTACCCACTCTGTTCTTTCTCATGCATTTACATGACAACTTCCTCAAGATCTGGGATCCATGGATTGCAATAGAGACCCGACTCTCTCTACGGAGAGGTTGACAGCTTTATGAAGTATCCATTGTGGTGACTGGGAATCCTGTGCGCCATGCTTCCCCTTACCCACCCCTTTCCTCCATACCTACCCACTAATCTGTTCTTTCTCATGCATTTATATGGCAACTTCCTCAAGATCTGGGATCCATGGATTGCAATAGAGACCCGACTCTCTCTACGGAGAGGTTGACGGCTTTATGAAGTATCCATTGTGGTGACTGGGAATCCCGTGCACCATGCTTCCCCTTACCCACCCCTTTCCTCCATACCTACCCACTAATCTGTTCTTTCTCATGCATTTACATGACAACTTCCTCAAGATCTGGGATCCATGGATTGCAATAGAGACCCGACTCTCTCTACGGAGAGGTTGACGGCTTTATGAAGTATCCATTGTGGTGACTGGGAATCCTGTGCGCCATGCTTCCCCTTACCCACCCCTTTCCTCCATACCTACCCACTCTGTTCTTTCTCATGCATTTATATGGCAACTTCCTCAAGATCTGGGATCCATGGATTGCAATAGAGACCCGACTCTCTCTACGGAGAGGTTGACAGCTTTATGAAGTATCCATTGTGGTGACTGGGAATCCCGTGCACCATGCTTCCCCTTACCCACCCCTTTCCTCCATACCTACCCACTAATCTGTTCTTTCTCATGCATTTACATGACAACTTCCTCAAGATCTGGGATCCATGGATTGCAATAGAGACCCGACTCTCTCTACGGAGAGGTTGACAGCTTTATGAAGTATCCATTGTGGTGACTGGGAATCCTGTGCGCCATGCTTCCCCTTACCCACCCCTTTCCTCCATACCTACCCACTCTGTTCTTTCTCATGCATTTACATGAACTTCCTCAAGATCTGGGATCCATGGATTGCAATAGAGACCCGACTCTCTCTACGGAGAGGTTGATGGCTTTATGAAGTACCCATTGTGGTGACTGGGAATCCTGTACGCCATGCTTCCCTTTACCCACCCCTTTCCTCTATACCTACCCACTACACGACTGTCTACTTTCCCTCCTTTTTCACCTCCTTCCTGTACTTAAAGCCGAACTTCTGGACTATATATTCTAATAATATACTATCTATTCTTGAACTTCTCCTAGTTTGGGTATGAAAATTTTAAGTCATTAAACGTAGATTCACACCTTTACCTAGATTTTACCTAGACTTTTCTCTCTTCCCCTTTCTTTCCTCCCTTCCTTCCCTTCTCCCTCCTAAAACTCACCCTCACCTTTACTGAACTAGGGAACACCATATGTTACGATGTGGCCCCTTTCGTATCTCAAATTTTCCAGCTTCCAAATGCATATAAATAACCACAGGACACTGTGCAAGGCACATATGCCAATCATTTTATTGACTCTTTGCATTTGTGGAACTGGTTGCAATACCTTTGAACAAATGCTGCAATCTTTTTTTTTATTTAATAAAAATCATTGGAAAGAAAGAAGTGGTCAGGTCAAGTTTTATTCTGTTGCAGACCTACTTTAGAGCAGATGAGGGTGGAATCTATGGCTCAGGCCATAACCTTGTAGTACATCTGTAGCATAATCGGTTTGATTGCTCCTGTTTAGCTTCGGCTTGCTGTGCAGCAGATTTGATAAACGTCTACCATGTTATTTATTTTTTTTCAATAAATCCACCATGTTTATTTACCCTGCCACCCTGCATGATGTACATATCTCCCTAGAGTCCTCTCATTCACCATTCACGATATTTTACACAGTAGTTCTGATATACTGATATATGAAGTAGGCCTCCAGTCTGAGGAAGAGTTAGATCGGTCGTTCTCAACCTCTTTACCCAGAGGAACTCTTGAAATAATTATCAGGTTTCCTGGGAACCCCTGCTCAGATTAGTCCTTCAGGGGTCACTATAAGAATGCCCCTTACATTGATGGTCAGTGGAAGGAATTACTCCTTAAAGGGCTAGTTGGAATGCCCTTACAGTTGCATGAAAAGATCATTGGTGTCATACTACTGGCTTTACCAACTGGGGATAAACCTAGAAATATGCAGGCACCATCTTTTCGAAGGTCAACTAGCCACAGTTCAAGAAACCCATATCAATCTCTAGAGGAACCCTAGTTGGGTTAGATCCTATGTCAGATCTTTGATTGCTGTCTGTTTCCTATTAGGGTGAGCCACCTTTATTTTTTGTGCTTGGTGACCATTGCAAAATGTTACAGTTCTCACCAGAACAGGTTTTAATGGGATATCTTCCAACTGGTACACTTGTACAAGTGACAGCTGTCAAAGATTTGGAGAGATTTCTACTTACTTCAAGAAATGCTCTAAGGGAAAGGAAGTGTTGGGGTCCCAATTCTAAAGCTTCAAAGATAAAAAAAAAATTGGTCCTATTTTATCCACTCAGGGACACAAGAAGTCTCTCACCTTTGAGTTATACTGCCATCTACATGAGAATGTAACACTGGAAAACAGAAAAAAAAAGCAAAACTGTAGGTCAGTCCCTCTGACCACCAGTTTTTTGCTAGTGTCTTAGGAAGATGGACATCTTCTCCTCAGAATTGCTATGTGGAAAACTAACCTATTTGTTTCTCAACTTTTTTCTTCTTCAATCAAGACTTGTTCTCTACATCAATGCTGAAGCTTGTTTCTTCCATTTTGTTATACAGTGTGGCTGTTCTCAGCCTGGCTTTTGGAGTATTGTGTCTGGACCCCACTGGAATGGACATTGAATGGACATAGGAAAGAATCTTTCCTACTTTTGCATAGAGACAAGGTATTGTTGGTGCCTAGGATTACCTTCTTTCCTAAGGTAGTTTCTGTCTTTCACCTCAACCAGCACATTGTTCTCCTGTCCCTCTTTCTGACCCATTTCACCATTAAGAAGAAATTTGCTTCCATTGTTTGATGGGCTGTGAGAGTCTATCTCTCATTGATTGCTTCCTTTGGGAACTCTGATTCCCTTCTTGTAATCCCAGATAGATCCTGTAAGAGTGCTCTGGCTTCTAGTTGCACCATCTCTAGGTGGCTCAGGCAGACCATCAAGCTTATGATCTCAAAGACTGGGTTCTACCCAGGGGCGGACTGACAATTCATGGGGCCCCCGGGCAATAGGGGATCATGAGGCCCCTGTGTCCTTGCCCAAACTCAAAAAAGCCTATGAAAAAGGTACCAGGGGCATGTCATGGGGCCCCCTACTGACCCCGGGCCCTCGGGCAGTGCCCAAGTTTCCAAATGGTCAGTCCGCCCCTGGTTCTACCCTTTCCTGTCGAAGCACATTTCAAGGTTACCACCTAGTCTTCACATTCTCTAGGTTCTACCAAGTGGATGTTGAGGCCTCATCTGTGCCTAAGGTCCTTTAGGCGGCTTTTTGAGCTGCAGGCAGTCCCCAGTTCTTTACTGTTTTTTCTTGGGCAGTTTAGTGTTTGTTTACTGTGTTGCTCACTCCTCAGTTTTACTGCATTGGGATGCACCGAAGGTGAAAATCTTCCTGTTTCCCTCAATGGACAAGAAAGGAAATAGGATTTTTGTTCTCATTGTAAAATTCTCCATTGAGGAACTCAAGTCCCACCCGTTTGTGTTTATGATCATGGTCTTTGTACTGCTTCACAAGCCGAGGCATGCTGGTAACATGAGACAATATCCTAATCTGGTCTACAGATTTCTTGTTTGCCAGTGTCCAATCCTCCCGTAGATGACATTATAACCCGAAGGTTATAGACATCCTATGTTCCTCAATGGATTCCAAGAAAAAGATTTTATGAGTAAAAAATTCCCATTTTGGATGATGATTAAAGTGTTACTAAAGTCACATTTATTTTTTTTTTTATAATAAAAACATGTTATATTAACCTGCTCTGTGCAGTGGTATTGCACAGAGTGGTCCCAATTTTTCTCTTCTCGGGTCCTCTGCTGGTGATCTTGGTGGCTCCTACGCTTCTTAGTGTGCCCCCAAAGCAAGCCATTCGCTATGTACGCAAACAGTATCTGCTTGCTCCCAACCTGTGTGTCTATGGAGCCACGCTCCATAGACTCACACAGCTTGATGTAGCCCTGTCCCCCACTTCCTCCTTACTGCATTTGATTGACAGCAGTAGGAGCCAATGGCTCCTGCTGCTGCTCGAGTGCTATGTGAAGAGGAAGAGAGGGGAGAAGAGATGCGGCTGTACACAGCGCTGGACGTATTTTCCCCTCTTTTCCCCTTTGCACAGGGAAGGGGGGGGGGGGGGGCAGAGTAATAGAAAATGTTTTTTTATCTTAACCCCCCTGGCGGTATTCCGGAGTGTAGCTCGGGGTTAATTCCTGCTAAACGGCTACTAAGGCCTCGTTCACAAGGGCGTACCCCTTGGTAAACCCTCACATATACCCAGTGAAGTGACTGGCCTCAGGTGACACACAGAGATGAAACAAATCCTCCTACATAAGTTGTACCTGTTTATCTGCAGTCTTCCCTTCTCTACACGTGTTCAAAGTCCAGAATGTACACTCACCAGCCACTTTATTAGGTAAACCTGTTCAATTGCTCGGTAACACAAATTGCTAATCAGCCAATCACATGGCAGCAACTCAATGCATTTAGGCATCTAGACGTGGTGAAGACGGCTTGCTGAATTTCAAACTGAGCATCAGAATGGGGAAGAAAGAGGATTTGAACATGGCATGGTTGTGGTGCCAGACAGGCTGGTCTGAATATTTCAAAAACTGCTGATCTACTGGGATTTTCACGCACAACCATCTCTAGGGTTTACAGAAAATGGTCCAGAAAAGAGAAAATATGAAGCAAGCAGCAGTTGTGTGGGAGGAAAATACCTTGTTGATGTTAGAGGAGAATGGGCAGCCTGGTTGCTGCAACATTCAGATGGTAGGGTCAGAACTTGTGTAAACAACATGAAAGAATGGATCCATCCTGCCTTGCACCAACGGTTCAGGCTGGTGGTGGTGGTGGTCCTGGTGTGGTGGATCCATCCTGCCTTGCACCAACGGTTCAGGCTGGTGGTGGTTTCATGGTGTGGTGGATCCATCCTGTCTTGTATCAATGGTTCAGGCTGATGGTGTTATGGTGTGGTGGATCCATCCTGTCCTTGTATCAATGGTTCAGGCTGGTGGTGTCATGGTGTGGGGGATCCATCCTGCCTTGTATCAATGGTTCAGGCTGGTGGTGTCAGGCTGGTGGTCCATCCTGCCTTGCACCAACGGTTCAGGCTGATGGTGGTGTGGTGGATCCATCCTGCCTTGTATCAATGGTTCAGGCTGGTGGTGTCATGGTGTGGTGTATCCATCCTGCCTTGCACCAACGGTTCAGGCTGGTGGAGGTGGTGTCATGGTGTGGGGGGAACAATTTCATGGCACTAGCAAGATGGACCTAATAAAGTGGCCGGTGAGTGTATAAGCTTGTCTGAGAGTTCAGAAAAAGAGGGCGGAGGCCTGGGATTACACACTGCAGAGCAGTGAGGAGAGCTCTGAGAGTTAATTGGAGGGAAGAGACACCCCCCCCCACCACACAGCTCACAGGAAAACATACCTGAGGCTATCAATCTGCTTGAGGTCCCTCCCCAGTCACCATTTATCTCTTGGTGTCAGAAAAACTTGTCAGAAGTGGCTCATGCAGAAGCAGAAGAATGAAGCAGCAGACAGAGATGACACTTAGTGCTTTTAATTGAGACAAGTACACACTATAGAGGGATAAACTTTTTTCATATTTCATGTCGGAAGTTTACAACCACTTTAAGGCTCCATGCCTTAGTGTTTTTTTAAGCTCCTAGAGGCTATTAGCATTTTTTTTTTCTGCTCCTAGAAGCTAAATAGTGCTCTCCTATGTGTCCATGCACACACTTTAGGCTATTAGCATTTTTTTGAGCGTCAGCATCTAGAAGCAGAAAAAGAATATTTTTTATAGTTTCTTTGGAGCGTTTTTCCAGCAGAAAAAAAGACACTAAACCCTTCTAAAATGTTCCTAACAGATTTTTTTTCCCCCTCTATATGTACTGTAAAAACGCTAATAAAACGCAAAGGCTCATAAATGCTACTGAAAAAATGCGATTACCAGCGTCTTTTGTCCAGCATTTTTTTTTGGCTTAACCCCTTCACTCCTGAGGGTAAAACAAATCGTAATGCCTAGCACAATTTTGCAACGTTGACCTGTGTTCGTAAAACTGCACATATCATCACAACTACTTTGTACATCCGGGTGAATTATACTGCGTTTTTTCAGGACAAATTGGACTTTCATTTGGGGGAAAATGGTAATGGTTATCTCCTGATTTTTTTTTTTTTATTATGAAAGAAAAACTGGCCCAGAATAGTAAAAAAAAAATAAATAATTTTTTTTTAAATTAGCTGTGTGTTTCTTGTTACTACCATAACCTACCACCAAAGAAAGAACAACCCAAAATAAATTCTCCAGCTCTTGACGATCGCAACGCTACCATATATGTGTATGTATGTTATTTGTTGTTTGTACCCGGAGTACAGCCCACAATAGTGCACCATTTGGTTTTTTACCTAAAACACACTGACACTAACTAAAAAATAAAAAAATAAAAATCCTGACCTTTGACCCTGACCCTTTTGACCTGTGACCCTGACCTTGACCCAAACACTTACCCTGGCACTGAACTAGATCAAACCTTGATCTAGGTATTTTATCTTTTCTTTTTTTATATTTATCATTATTATTTTTTAAGAAACATTTTTCTTTTCTATACCAGGCGTTAGAGAGATACAATGTATTTCTCTCCTCCATTCAAAAAACAAGGGGGCGGGCTATACAATGACTGATCACTGTGTTAGCCAATCAGAGGCTATCACAGCGATCATGTGACCCAGATTCAGGAGTCCCAATCGTTAGAACGGGACCCGGGGCTCTCAATGACACCCCAGTCTTTGTGCTGGGACCGCGCAGTGCGGCGTGCTCCCAGCACAAAGACAAGCACTCAAATGTGCGACCGCACAGAGACAGAAAAAAACACAGGCTACATATTTGTCTTACGTCGGTGTGAAGGGGTTAAAAAAGAAAAAAAAAAAAACCACACTAGAGTACATGGAGCCTAAATCTGACCTCCAGCCTCCTCCTGATGTGAAGGTCAACTGGTGTGCAGGGGAAGATGGACATTTAAAACAAAGAAGGACAGTCTGCAGATTAGCAAGGTTCAGGGAGGGTGATGGATACAGGGGTTACACAAAAAAAATAAAAAGAAAAAACTCAATAATTTGAAGGTGTGACAAAGAGAAAAAAGGACATTGCGCAGGATTGTGACCCGGAATAAGAAAACTGCTGCAAAAGTGACTGCCGAGCTCAATCTCAGTCTTCACAGGAGTGGTCACGGGACTGAGATTGACCTCTGCAATCACTTTTGCAGCAGTCGTTTTCATATTCCGGGTCACAATCCTTTTTGTCTCTTTTGGTCAGTTGAACATGTGGACTGCGCTTATACTTATCAGACAATGTTTTCCCGGAAACTGTATACGCCGCCATAATCTTTGATCCTGCACCTCGCCACATGGCAAATAAATTGCCAACTTCAGTCACAGAGGCACCAGCTAAGCGACACCAACAATGGTTTAAAAGCTCAGTAAGCTCTGACATGACTCCGTATTACTAGCAATGCAAAGTGTGCTGCTGTTTCTCCTTCCCCAGCAATCTGAACTCTCGCTGCAGCTGAGAACAGAGGGTATGTGATCACTTATAAAAAGGGAAAAAAAAAGTGTTTCTGAGGGTTTTTTTTTAATATCTATAACAAAATGTTTTGCCTTTCATTTCTATTTTAAACTGAATGGGTTGTTTTACAAGGTGAGTGTTCATATATACTATAACTTTCATGAGAGTCAGTGATGTCCTCTGGTATTCCCCCGCTTGTCAGGCGCCAAGACAGATCAGAAAGACGCAGGTGATGCTGACCAAAAAGTATAAAATGGATTCTGTCCGCTACCGGTGGTCATGAATCTGTAGAATCAGAGAGCTGCACCTCCGGGACAGGATGTCCTTCACCTTCTGCGGGGCAGGAGACGCTGCATGAAAGGGAAGGAAATGAAACGTAAACCACTTTACAAAGTCAATCTGCATTACTTCCTGTATTTGGAAAAAGTTTCCTGCCATCATTATTATTCATGATAAAAATACAAACAAAAGACCATTAGAGGATTATTATACCAAAAACTTGATGGGAAAATATTCACTTTTATTTCATGTCATTAAAACGTTTACAATCCCAGTGCTATTAATAAAATGTAAAGCGTTCAACTTCTACATATAATAGGTTAGTAGAATGGGAAATATCTGGTGCTCAGATAAGTTACCACTGACTCCAATTACTTTTTCAGCAATCTGTAAGGAGCATTCTTCCCACTGATCCCCAATGTAAGGGACATTCTTCCCACTGATCCCCAATGTAAGGGACATTCTTCCCACTGATCCCCAATGTAAGGGACATTCTTCCCACTGATCACCAATGTAAGGGGCATTCTTCCCACTGACCATCAATGTAAGGGACATTCTTCCCACTGATCCCCAATGTAAGGGACATTCTTCCCACTGATCACCAATGTAAGGGGCATTCTTCCCACTGACCATCAATGTAAGGGGCATTCTTCCCACTGATCCCCAATGTAAGGGACATTCTTCCCACTGATCCCCAATGTAAGGGACATTCTTCCCACTGATCACCAATGTAAGGGGCATTCTTCCCACTGACCATCAATGTAAGGGACATTCTTCCCACTGACCCCCAATGTAAGGGGCATTCTTCCCACTGACCACCAATGTAAGGGACATTCTTCTCACTGATCACCAATGTAAGGGACATTCTTCCCACTGACCACCAATGTAAGGGGCATTCTTCCCACTGACCACCAATGTAAGGGGCATTCTTCCCACTGATCACCAATGTAAGGAGCATTCTTCCCACTGACCACCAATGTAAGGGACATTCTTCCCACTGACCCCCAATGTAAGGAGCATTCTTCCCACTGACCCCCAATGTAAGGGACATTCTTCCCACTGATCACCAAATGTAAGGGACATTCTTCCCACTGACCCCCAATGTAAGGGACATTCTTCCCACTGATCACCAATGTAAGGGACATTCTTCCCACTGATCACCAATGTAAGGGACATTCTTTCCCACTGATCACCAATGTAAGGAGCATTCTTCCCACTGATCACCAATGTAAGGAGCATTCTTCCCACTGACCCCCCCAATGTAAGGGACATTCTTCCCACTGACCACCAATGTAGGGGACATTCTTCTCACTGATCACCAATGTAAGGGACATTCTTCCCACTGATCACCAATGTAAGGGGCATTCTTCCCACTGACCACCAATGTAAGGGACATTCTTCCCACTGATCACCAATGTAAGGGACATTCTTCTCACTGACCACCAATGTAAGGGGCATTCTTCCCACTGACCACCAATGTAAGGGGCATTCTTCCCACTGACCCCCAATGTAAGGGACATTCTTCTCACTGACCCCCCCAATGTAAGGGACATTCTTCCCACTGACCACCAATGTAAGGGACATTCTTCCCACTGACCCCAATGTAAGGGACATTCTTCTCACTGACCCCCAATGTAAGGGGGCATTCTTCCCACTGACCACCAATGTAAGGGACATTCTTCCCACTGACCTCCAATGTAAGGGACATTCTTCCCACTGATCCCCAATGTAAGGAACATTCTTCCCACTGACCTCCAATGTAAGGGACATTCTTCCCACTGACCTCCAATGTAAGGGACATTCTTCCCACTGACCACCAATGTAAGGGCATTCTTCCCACTGACCACCAATGTAAGGAGCATTCTTCTCACTGATCTCCAATGTAAGGGACATTCTTCCCACTGACCTCCAATGTAAGGGACATTCTTCCCACTGACCTCCAATGTAAGGGACATTCTTCCCACTGACCACCAATGTAAGGGGCATTCTTCCCACTGACCTCCAATGTAAGGAGCATTCTTCCCACTGGCCCCCAATGTAAGGGACATTCTTCCCACTGATCACCAATGTAAGGAGGACATTCTTCCCACTGACCAGCAATGTAAGGGACATTCTTCCCGCTGACCACCAATGTAACGGACATTCTTCCCACTGACCCCAATGTAAGGGACATTCTTCCCACTGATCACCAATGTAAGGGGCATTCTTCCCACTGATCACCAATGTAAGGGACATTCTTCCCACTGACCCCCCAATGTAAGGGACATTCTTCCCACTGATCACCAATGTAAGGGACATTTTTCCCACTGATCACCAATGTAAGGGATAGTCTTCACACTGACCCCCCATGTAAGGGACATTCTTCCCACTGACCCCCAATGTAAGGGGCATTCTTCCCACTGATCCCCAATGTAAGGGACATTCTTCCCACTGACCCCCAATGTAAGGGACATTTTTCCCACTGATCCCCAATGTAAGGGGCCTTCTTCCCACTGACCTCCAATGTAAGGGACATTCTTCCCTCTGACCATCAAAGTAAGGGACATTCTTCCCACTGATCACCAATGTAAGGGACATTCTTCCCACTGACCCCCAATGTAAGGGACATTCTTCCCACTGACCACCAATGTAAGGGACATTCTTCCCACTGATCACCAATGTAAGGGACATTCTTCCCACTGACCTCCAATGTAAGGGGCATTCTTCCCACTGACCTCCAATGTAAGGGGTATTCTTCTCACTGACCACCAATGTAAGGGACATTCTTCTCACTGACCATCAATGTAAGGGACATTCTTCCCACTGATCACCAATGTAAGGGACATTCTTCCCACTGACCCCCAATGTAAGGGACATTCTTCCCACTGATCACCAATGTAAGGGACATTCTTCCCACTGATCACCATTGTAAGGGACATTCTTCCCACTGACCCCCAATGTAAGGGACATTCTTCCCCCTGATCACCAATGACTGGGCCAAGAAATATCTGAAGACAGGTCTTTCAAAGGTTTTATGGACTGATGAGATGAGAGTGACTCTTGTCAGATCAGATGGATGGACCTGTGGTTGGATGAGTGACAGGCACAGAGCTCCACTTCCACACCAGCAAGGTGGAGTTGGGGTACTGGTATGGGCTGGTATCATTACTATAATAATACCAGCCCATACCAGTACCCCAACTCCACCTTGTTGGTGTGGAAGTGGAGCTCTGTGCCTGTCACTCATCCAACCACAGGTCCATCCATCTGATCTGACAAGAGTCACTTTCATCTCATCAGTCCATAAAACCTTTGATGGTTCTGTGATCACGCCCCAATGTCTTAGCAAATTCAGGCCTCATGCACACAGGATGTTTTACAGCGGCTGTTTTTTGGCTTTTGCCGTTTTTTTTCTACAGCCAGTAAACCCCCCAGCATGTTATCCTATGTATCCATACACACATAGACTGGAATCAACGTTTTTTGGCTGGGGCGTTTTTTTGGCTGGAAAAAAAACCCCAGGACTAGTGGGTTTCAGAGGAGTTTCTTAACTGTAAAAACACTCTAATGCTGAAAAATGTGGTAAACCGTGGCAAACCCACATTTTTGGACTTTTTTTTACTAAAAAAAAAATTTTTTTTCCTTTTGGTCAAAGAAAAAATTCCTAAAAAATGCAAACACGGTAAAAGTTTTTTAACTGTAAAGATGCTCTAACTCTGAAAAACTACGTAAACCGTGGCAAACCCATGTTTTTGGACTTTTTTTTTACTAAAAATATTTTTTTTTTCTTTTGGTCAAAAAAAAAACCTCTAAAAAATGCAAACGTGGTAAAATGCTAATACAAAAAAACGATGAAAAACTCACGTTTTTAACATGACTTTACACAGCTAACCAGGGGCGGACTGACAACTCATGGGGCTCCCGCGAAATAGGGGATCATGGGGCACTTGTGTCGGTGTTCGCTGTGTCCGGAGGGCACAGCGGGAACCGGATCGCAGCGTTGCGCGCTCCCAGAGAGCGCGCACAAATCACAATGGCCGGCAACCCACCCCTGCACTGCCACCATCTGGCCGTTTATATACATGGGCCGCACAGGGAGGGGGGGTAATGACATTGACTGTATGCTTGGGGTCGTTGTCCTGCTGCAGAATAAATTTGGAGCCAGTCACATGCCTCCGTGATGGTACAGCATGATGGATAAGTATCTGCCTGTATTTCTCAGAATTGAGGACACCATTGATCCTGACCAAATCTCCAACTCCATTTGCAGAAATGCAGCCCCAAACTTGCAAGGAATCTTCAGCATGCTTCACAGTTGCCTGCAGAAACTCATTATGGTATCGCTCTCCAGTCCTTCACCAACAAACTGCCTTTTTTTTTTCTTTTGGTCAAAGAAAAAAACCTCTAAAAAATGCAAACACGATAAAAGTTTTTTAACTGTAAAGATGCTCTAACGCTGAAAAACTAGGTAAACCGTGGCAAACCCATGTTTTTGGACTTTTTTTTGACTAAAAATTTTTTTTTTTTTTATTTTTGTCAAAAAAAAAACCTCTAGAAAATGCAAACGCGGTAAAATGCTAATACAAAAAAAAATGATGAAAAACTCACGTTTTTAACATGACTTTACACAGCTAACCAGGGGCGGACTGACAACTCATGGGGCTCCCGGGAAATAGGGGATCATGGGGCCCCTGTGTCCTTGCCCACACCCAAAAAAGCCTATGAAAAAGGTACCAGGGGCATCTCATTGGGCCCCCTACTGACCCTGGGCCCTAGGGCAGTGCCCGAGTTTCCATTTGGTCAGTCCACCCCTGCAGCTAACGTTACCAGTGTTATTAAAATGCCCCGTGTTAATGGAGCCTCAAGAGTGCTGCATCCGTCTGGAAGACTTTTTACAATTTTGGAATTTTCACAGTCAGTTAAATTTTTGGCCCATTTTGCCTGAGGAAAAGAAGCTGCCTAATAATTCTGCACACCTTGATATCTTAGGCCACACCCTCCCTCATTACACAAATACAAATCACCTGATATGCCTATATCCAGGGTGGATAAAAATGGATGACTTTTTAAAAAAAAAAAAAAAAAAATTTAAATCGATTTTTTGATTTTTATCAAATTTATTTTAATAAAATGCTTTTGGAGTAAAAATCTATCTCAAGATAGTTTTCTATTTAAAATGCATTATTGAGTTTATTCAGCATGAAATGCATCTTAGTTATGTAGCATGGGGCTGTATATTCTGCAATATATACATTTTTGGTAAACTCATTGACCCCCGGTTCACATCTATGCGGCCGTGCGGGCCGCGCTTTGCACAGCCACGAGAGCCCATTCATTTGAATGGATTCCTGTGCCTGTGACATGCAGGGAAGTCCCTGCACTTCTTTGGAAAACGCAGCCGAGGTTCCCAGTATGGTTGTGTTTTCCAGTGTGGGCGGCGTGCCGTTAGAACTAATGACACCCGCCTGCGGGTCCGCAATTCTCTGTGCGGGTGGTGCAGCTGCACGGATTTTCGTGCGGATCCGCCGCGGCACCACCCGCACAGATGTGAACCTAGGGTCAATGAATTTTTATTCTGTTCATTTACTTTCCATTTTGTTAAATAATAAAAAACTATTAACACTTCTACATTACGTGGGGTCTTCAAAAAGTTTCCACACTTTCGAAAACTCTAACATACAGGTGAAACTCGAAAAATTAGAATATGGTGCAAAAGTCCATTTATTTCAGTGCAGCAACTTAAAAGGTGAAACTAATATATGAGACTCATTACATGCAAAGCAAGATAGTTCCAGCCGTGATTTGTCATCATTGTGATGATTATGGCTTACAGCTCAAGCAAACCCCAAATCCACAATCTCAGAAAATGAGAATATTCCATGCAATCAATAAAACACGATTGTACATAGAACAATATCGGACCTCTGAAAAGTAGAAGCTGCATATGTACTCAGTACTTGGTTTGGGCCCCTTTTGCAGCAATTACTGCCTCAATGTGGCGTGGCATGGAAGCTATCAGCCTGTGGCACTACTGAGGTGTTATGGAAGACCAGGATGCTTCAATAGCGGCCTTCAGCTCTTCTGCATTGTTCCGTCTCATGTCTCTCATCTTTCTCCTGGCAATGCCCCATAGATTCTCTATGGGGTTCAGGTCAGGCGAGTTTGCTGGCCAATCAAGCACAGTAATCCCACGGTCATTGAACCAGGTTTTGGTGCTTTTGGCAGTGTGGGCGGTGCCAAGTCCTGCTGGAAAATGAAGTCAGCGTCCCCATAAAGCTCGTCTGCGGAAGGAAGCATGAAGTGCTCCAAAATCTCCTGGTAGACGGCTGCGTTGACCCTGGACTTAATGAAGCACAGTGGACCAACACCAGCAGATGACATGGCTCCCCAAATCAACACAGACTGTGGAAACTTCACACTGGACTTCAAGCATCTTGCAGTGTGTGCCTCTCCATTCTTCCTCCATACTCGGGGTCCCTGGGCCTCTCCATTCTTCCTCCATACTTGGGGTCCTTGTGCCTCTCCATTCTTCCTCCATACTCGGGGTCCTTGTGCCTCTCCATTCTTCCTCCATACTCGAGGTCCTTGTGCCTCTCCATTCTTCCTCCATACTTGGGGTCCTTGTGCCTCTCCATTCTTCCTCCATACTCGGGGTCCTTGTGCCTCTCCATTCTTCCTCCATACTCGGGGTCCTTGTGCCTCTCCATTCTTCCTCCATACTCGGGGTCCTTGTGCCTCTCCATTCTTCCTCCATACTCGGGGTCCTTGGGCCTCTCCATTCTTCCTCCATACTCGGGGTCCTTGGTCCTCCATTCTTGGGGTCCTTGGGCCTCTCCTTTCTTCCTCCATACTCAGGGTCCTTGGGCCTCTCCATTCTTCCTCCATACTCGGGGTCCTTGGGCCTCTCCATTCTTCCTCCATACTCGGGTCCTTGGGCCTCTCCATTCTTCCTACATACTCGGGGTCCTTGGGCCTCTCCATTCTTCCTCCATACTCGGGGTCCTTGGGTCTCTCCATTCTTCCTCCATATGCGGGGTCCTTGTGCCTCTCCATTCTTCCTCCATACTCGGGGTCCTTGGGCCTCTCCATTCTTCCTCCACACTCGGGGTCCTTGGTTTCCAAATGAGATGCAAAAGTTGCTCTCATCAGAAAAGAGGACTTTGGACAACTGAGCAACAGACCAGGTCTGTTTTTCTTTAGCCCAGGTAAGACACTTCTGACGTTGTTTGTTGTTCAGGAGCGGCTTGACAAGAGGAATACGACATTTGAAGCCCATGTCCAGGATCCGTCTGTGTGTGGTGGCTCTTGATGCACTGACTCCAGCCTCAGTCCACTCCTTGTGAAAGTCCCCAACACTTTTGAATGGCCTTTTCCTGACAATCCTCTCCAGGCTGCGGTCATCCCTGCTGCTTGTGCACCTTTTTCTTCCACACAACTTTCTATTAATGTGCTTTGATACAGCACTTTGGGAACATCCAACTTCTTTTGCAATTACCTTTTGAGGCTTTCCCTCCTTATGGAGGGTGTCAGTGATGGTGTCAGGTCAGCAGTCTTTCCCATGATTGTGATTCCTACTGAACCAGACTGAGAGAAAGACTGAGAGACCATTTAAAGGCTCAGGAACCCTTT